GCACCTCCAGTGACACAGATCAGAATGGGCAGATGAACTAAACATCACACGATGTGTGTGTCTGCAAGTGTGTATTGCCTCCACATGAGCCCTTCTCCTATGTGTCTCTTTGCTGTAGAAAAGCAACAGGCCCTGTCCCTCCCCAGCCCACCTTCTCTCCTGGGACATTCCCCAGTGGTCACTTCCCCATGGACCCAAGCCTCACAATCAGAATCTGGGAACCAACCTCGGAAACCCATGCTGATCTCTCCAGCAGGAGAATCTGAAACCAGGTAGATGTGAGGACATCCAAGTATGGACTGCCCCTTTCGGCCTGTCCCGGAACAGTCTGGTAAACAGACAGCACAGGCAGATGAGGATGACAAAGCAGACTGGGGAAAGTCCCTCCCTGAGGACAAGCATATCTGGAGGATGAGACCCTGCCAAGGACTGACCATGCCCCCATCAGCTCTACTCAGGGAAGGTGAAGTGCCTGCCTGGGTCCCTGGTGGTCATACAGAGCAAGGTTACAAACCCAAGTCTGAATGCCCAATTATTTATTCAACCATGATCTCTCCTAGCTTCCTCCTTTTGGACAGAGGGAATAATGAACCTCAGCACAGAGCTGCCACGGGCCCCACATGAGAGATCCTGGGGACACCCACCGAAACTCTCTCATCCAGTAAACAGGCAAGAACAGAGCCCTCTCAAGCACGCTCCTCCCACCTCCCCCACCTGGCCCAGCCCTGCACCTGGGGCCTCCCCTGCACCCTCAGGGCCCTCTCTCCTGCTGCCCTCTCCCAAGCCTCTCCAGGAGCCAGGCTGCTGCCGCAGCAGAGATTTCTAGCTGCTCGTGTTTAGTTACACTTGGGTCATGTGAGAATAACAATAATTGCTACTTGTCACCATGCCTGGGTCTGACCAGAGCCCCAGGCACTGCTGTGTCCCTGCTCATGTTGGCCTTGTCAACCAGGACTGAGGCAATAGCCATCTCTGTGAACCTTCATTTTCTCAGCTATGAAGTAGTAGGACAACAGCAGTTCCTTCTTCACCAGAGGGCTGTGAGTGGCCAGAACTGAGGCCCCGCTAATATGCATTGGGCCCTTAGCAGCGCTGCAAGTGGGCAGGATCTGCCCACACCTGCACAAAACGGAGGCCTGTTGGTCTGAGCTGTGGCTGCAGGACTTTAGGGCTGTGGTCAGGACAAGTTCCCAGGCAGCCTAGCCCATACAGACCCTAGACCCCAGGGTCCCACCACGGCCAGAGCCCTGAGGAATCAAGCCCAAACAGCTCGCTGAACAGAGGAGGAAATCATACAGTCACATCGTACAGTCGGTAAATACCCAGCTGGGTTTAGCCAGGGCTGTGGGCACCCCACGGCCCCCAGCCTGTCCATCACCACAAATGATGCGGATGTGCCAGCATGTCAGGAGGAAGGCCTGAAGCAGGATTTAGAGGAAGTTTCCGTTTTCTGATAAATCTCCAAGGTGACTTGCATTTTCCATGCTTTCAGTTTCACTTTCAAAACTCCCTCTAGGGATTCCCCTAGAGGTCCAGTGGTTGGAGACCTGACTGCCAATGCAGGGGACAAGGATTCCATTGTCCCCTGGGAGGATTGCACATGCCCCGGGGGCAGCTAAATCCACACACCACAACTAATGAGCTGTTGCAGGGAGAAGTCAATTCTGACTCCATGTTGAAATGGTTTCTTTGACTTGCTTTCCGTTGCTTTTATTATTATAATTACACATAATGGCCTGTCTCAGAGAATCCTACCCCTCTGCCTGACTATTAAACTAAAGTGCCTTTGTTCAGAACGCTGTCCTTGTGTAGATGGCAAGAAGGATGAAATTAACACATCACTCTGCCTGAAGCTTGCTCTTCCAGGAGATACTTGCAAGATTAAGTGGACTTTTTACTTTGTTTCCTCACCTCCCCCTATCTCTGGTTCATAAAAGAGCCTGGCATCCAAACAAGATGGTTATTTTGAGGCGTTAGTCTGCCATCTTCTCTGTCTCCCAGCTTTCTGAATAAGAATAAAGTATTCCTTGCCTCAACAACACCTTGTCTCTTGGGTTCATTGGCCTAACATGCAGTGGGCAGAGTGAGCTTGGACTCAGTAACAAAGCTATTGCAATGAGAAACCTGTGCACGACAACTAGAGTAGCTCTCACTCGGCACAACTAGAGAAACCCTGCATGAAACAACTAAGACCCAGCATAGTCAAAATAATTAAATCAACCAATTTTTAAAAAGATAAGATTGTTTAAAAAAAAAAAAAGCTACTTCTAGCAGCAAGGGTCAGAGAAGGCAATGGCAACCCACTCCAGTACTCTTGCCTGGAAAATCCCATGGATGGAGGAGTCTGGTAGCCTGCAGTCCATGGAGTCGCCAAGAGTCGGACCCGGCTGAGAGACTTCACTTTCACTTTCATGCACTCGAGAAGGCAATGGCAACCCACTCCAGTGTTCTTGCCTGGAGAATCCCAGGGATGGCAGAGCCTGGTGGGCTGCCGTCTATGGGGTCACACAGAGTCGGACACGACTGAAGCGACTTAGCAGCAGCAGCAGCAGCAAGGGTAAGGCATTAGGCAGGGGGAGACAAGGAGGTCCTGGTGTGGAGGGCAATCACAGGTGAGGCAGGCACTAGGTTACAGTGCTCATGGATGCCCACCTGCTGGCTGGTGTTGACTGAAAAAATACTCACAGCCTAAAAGTTGAGAGTTATATTTATTCAGTGGAAATTTTTAGCACTTCTAGCCCAGGAGACAGCATCTCAAGTAACCCTGAGAGAACTGGTTCCAGGAGGTGAGGGGAGGAGCCAAGTTTTGCAACAAAGGGCAGGTAGTCTGATCATCAAAAGATTACTGTTATCTAAAGAAAATGAGACATTCCAAGTTAAGGAAATCAGCATTTTTCTATTTATAGGAAGATGCAAGAGTCTGCGCTCACTGAAATCAATCCTTTCACATGCACCTGAGCTATCTGGGGCCAGTACCCTGTGTTTTCACATCTTGAACTTCCTTTCTTCAGGGCTCACCGTAGGAAATGGCTGTAGTCTGCTGGCTGCTAGACAGCAGGTATTCTTTGCCTTCCTGAATTCCCTTAGGGCTCACTAGCTCACACTGGAGGGCTGTAATCACTGATGACTGTGGCATCCTTGTTTACTGACACAGCAGGAACTATTTCATTTCTCACTGGCTAGACCAGCCAAGAGAGCAACAAGTCCACTGCTTACAGATCCATGCAATCCCCCGAGTTCTGAGCATGGCCCTCCTAGGTCTCTTCCCAGCTATGCCTCAGTTTCCTCCCATGTCAAATGAGAGGGTAACCCATTTCGCAAGGCTATCCCATATCACCTCCCATAACCCTGTTCCAGGCCACAGCACCTAGAACAGGGCCTAGCATAAAGCAGGCACTCTGGTTACAGGATGAATGAACGAGCTCTAAGCCAATGTAACTATCTCCCAACCTTGGGCACTGCTGCTTACTCTCTCGGATCTCTGATTTAACAGGAGGGGAAAGGTCACGCCTACATGGCCTTGGTCAAATGACTTGTGCTAACAGAATTTAGCAGACACTATGAGAGAAGGCAGAAGGTGGGGCGGGAATGGGGGTGGAGGTGGGCAGTGCAACTGGGAGGAGTAAAAAGCTGTTGGTCCTGGGAGCCAGGTCAGGGTCAGGGCAGAACACAGAGACCCAGACCTTCGCCTACCAGGCCAGGGAGATAATGCTTGGCCTCTTTGCACCCGCCTGGCTTCTGGGAGAGGCCTGCGTCCCGGGAAACAGGACTGAAAGAGTCAAGGGCTGGAGGAACCAACATGCTTTTGCCACCCCTAGCGGATGGCACCGGCACAGACAAGGTGCCACCCCAAACAAGGGGCCCTGCCTGAAGACACAGAGGCTGCTCCATGAACGGTGGCAGGCACAAAGCCAGCCCAAGCTGCGGTGATCTGCTGTCTGCCCCCTCCTGAGTGCGTGGGAGGCCTTCACGTCCCCTTTTCCTAGATAAGGTCAAAGTTCAGAGGGTGTGAGACCCAGGCGACTGGCAGGTTTCGTGTGCGGGGCGAGCGTTATGTTGGCGAAAGCTGCACCGGGGCCCCCGGGATGAGCGTCATCCGGGAAAACACAAAACCACGCCCGCGGCAGCACCCGCTAGACTTCATGGCGGTTAGCGAAGCGGCCAGGGAAAGGTCGGTTCTTGCCCTCCTTTTATGGATTACAAGGGTCCACGACAGGAACACAGAAGGCGACATGCGTTACCACGAACACGAGAAGTCGGGGGCCTAACAGAACGGAAACTCAGCGCGGGTTTCCCCTGCCATAGCGGTCCACGCAGGGCAAGTCCCGGGTGGCCTAAGCCCCGCCCCCCGGCCTCCGCCAGGGGGTTGGGAGCGGAGTCTGAGGGCGGGGGCGTGAGCCGGGACGGAGGAAGGCGGGCCGTGGGCGGAGTCTGAGGGCGACTTTGAGCGCCGAGCTGGAGGGGGCGGGCCGTGGGCGGACCCGCAGCGGGGTCTGTGTGCGCGGCTGGGGCGCGGGCCACGCTGAGACCGGGAGCAAAGCTGATCCAGTGCCTCACCATGGACTCGCGCCCCGAAGAGTACGAGCTCAACGGCGACCTGCGCCCGAGCTCGCCCGGGTCCCCAGACGCCTCGGTAAGCACCCCCTCTCTCCGTGCCGCTGTGCGACCTTGGCCGACGCCCGCTCTCTCTGAGCCCTGCGCCCGCGGCTCCCAGGCACCTACGGGCGCCAACCCGCTGCGCGTCGCGTCCGCAGTGAAGGTCGGGTGGTCGCCATGCCCCCTGCGTCCCGCCCCCTTGCCAGCGTGGTCGCGGGGAGCCCAGGGGCTCAAGCCACTCTGGAAGGTTGGGCTGGGGCGCGGGCGGTTGGCAGGCTGCCGTAGGTGGCCCGGGGCAGGTAGCGCCCACACGGAGCTGCGCAGCCGTGGGGCCTGGGCGCCACCTTCACTCCGCTTTCCGCGGGCCCCTGCTTTCCCGGCTCTCACACAGCGCTCCAGCTCTGCCTCTGTTCCGGTTCGCTGCGCGCCGGGAGTAGGCGCTGAACGGATCCCGGCCTCTGGGCTCTAGGCCAGCAGCGGGCAGACAGTTACGTCACTTACGGTGTCCACAGCGACCGCACAGTCTTGTGCATGCCCTGATGGGGAATTTGGGGCCGCTGTGGCCTCCTCCCCTCTCTCCACCCGCGGGTTCTTGCGCCTCAGTCCGTCCTGCTGGCCTTGGAGCGCTGTGAGCAAGGGGACAGGACCTGGCAGTGGTCCCATTTAGATCCAGTACCCTCCCACCCTGGGGTCCCGTCCCACTGTTGGAGCAGAGCCAGAGTAGCGGTTGGTAACCGGCCTTGCCCAGGACCAGCACTTCCCCAGGGCCTGTGTTTGTGGCGCAGCCCTGAGCACCACCCTTTGGTAACTTGTTGACATTGGCCATTCTTTCAGTTTCTGACCCCCTGCGGATGGGGGCAGGGACAGAGACCTCTCAGTCATGGACGCCAGACTAAGGCCGAGACTGACCCTGCTCAGGTGTGGGCGACCAGTCCTAGGCGATGCTGTAGTAACAGGCCATGTTCAGGGGGCGGAGGGCAACATGTGAGGCAAGCAAGGCCCTGGCCTGGGGAACAGGCCCTCAGCAGGCAGGGATCCCTGTGCTCAGGGGTCACTGCCATTGGCCTTGGGACCAGTTGCGGGGGCCTCAGCCCTGTTCCACTCAGTCTGAGAGCTGAGACCAGTCCTGACGGGGAAGCCATGGGCAGAGTGCTGAACACACAGGTGGGTGGGAAGACTTCCTGACCAGTGGGGACATTGGCACTCCGCCCTGGGGTGTGAGTATGTGCGGAAGGGCATCCCAGGCAGGGGGAACAGTGGGAGAAGGGCCCAGCAGCTGGTCCACCAAGTACATCGGGGCTGGTTATAGGAGGTCAGACCTTGCCAGCTGCGGAGGCCATGGAGACTCTGGACGCTCATGTGAGAGTGGACACATTCTTCCAGGTGACTCCAGTCACAGGCAAGGAGGCTCTGGGAGAGAAAGTCAGGACTGACAGCTGCTCTGCTCATCCAGCCTGGGGTCCAGGCCCACCCAACACTGCTCTCTCTCCAGCCTCTGCCTTCCGCTTCCCACCCTCAGGACCTGCCTCACTGTGATCTTAGGCACATCACTCTGTGCCTCAGTTTCTTATTTGTGAAAGGGGATGAGAGCAGCACCTCCAACAGAGGGTTATGAAAGAAAGTAAAAGTGTTAGTCACTCCGTCGTGTCTGACTCTTTGTGACCCCTTGGACTGTAACCCGCCAGGCTCCTCTGTCCATGGGATTCTCCAGGCAAGAATCCTGGAGTGGGTGACCATTCCCTTCTCCAGGGGATCTTCCCGACCCAAGGACTGAACCTGCATCTCTTGTCCTGCAGGCAGATCCTTCACTGTCTGACCCACCAGGGAAGCCCTCAGAGGCTTGTGGTGAGGACTAAATGGGCTACTGTGTGTGAAGTGCTGGGGGAAACTGGACACATAGTATTAACATTCCTGCCTGCCAAACTAGATCCTCTTTCAAAGATGACATCCCGACAGGGTTTAGGAAGGGCAGCACCTTCTCCCAGGTGCAGTCCACTCTCCCCTCACCCCGCGATAGGCATGGCCCTCCCCCTGCACCTCACCTGGCTCTTCCACAGCCTCCCCTCCCAGTGGCCACTGCCTGAATCTGAGTCCCGAGGTCCTGCTTGAGGAGGGGTAGAAAGATTTGCTGGAAAGAGGAAAATCCCAGGATCTTCAGATATGTCCCCACTTGAGCAAGAGCCCCCAGACAGGATGTGTGGGCTGAGTCACCATGATGTCCTCAGCGTGCCCCTGGCTGCAGGAAGACTGACTGGGAGCCCAAGCCCAGAGCCCCCATCGGTCTCAAGATGCCCTGCCGCATGGCCCTGGGCAAGTACGGGCTCTCTCTGAACCTCAGCTTCCTCTTCTGTAGAGTGGGGAAGAATCACTCACCTCCCAGGGTGACTGGGCTCAGAGGAGAGTTGTATGTATAATCCAAGGGCAGATGAGCTGTCAGGCCAGGGCAGTGAGGGAGCTCCACAGATGTCCTCCTCCACATGCTGCCTACCCCTGTGGCCTCCATGCAAGGCCAGTCTTCTCAGGGCCCCCGCTTGAGTGAGTTGGTGTCTTTAGTCAATTAACTCACTTCTGGATGGCAGCAGAAGAAATAAGAAGCATTAGTTATATTGTGAAAATAAATGTGGCCATGCCCAGGGTTTATCTAAGGGGGCAGCTGCCTCGGACACTGCAGCAGACTCTGGGGCTATATCCAGCTGAGGACACAGCAAGGCGGTGGCAGGACAGGGTGCAGTGAGGCTCACAGGGCAACATTTGGGCTTGGAAACCAAGTCCTGGGAGGGAGGGTTGCTTGCATGGCCTCAGCTGCTGGGAGAGGTTTGCTCTTTTTCTCTTAAACTCTTTTTTTGGCCTTGCTGAGCTGGCATGTGGAATTTTAGTTCCCCAATCAGGGATTGAGCCTGTGCCCCCTGCCTTGAAATTGTGGAGTCTTAATCACGGGATCACCAGGGAAGTTCCAAGTTTGCTCTTTTTCTCATTTCTGCTCTCCTGGCAGATCCCGAGGCTGGTGGTGTCTTAGCCATGTTCCAAAAGGCAACCCTGACGTGGCCGCGCGGTCATTCCTTGTCAGTGGTGAGCCCACAGGAAGCAGAACTGCCCAACGCCACTCAGCTGCTGCGAGGACCTCCCACCCCAACCCTGGGAAACTTCCTGCCAGGAACTCAGACATGGAGCAAGAGACCTCCCGAGGCAGGCTGGACACAGATGGTGTGGGGACAGTGCAGGAGTGAGCTAGTGTGACCTGGAGTGGGTGCCTTCACGCTGAGCCCAAGCAGTGGACACAGTAGCAGCTTCTGCCCCACACTGATGGGTCAGACAGATCGTACTCGGCCCCAGCAGATCCTCTTGGTGGGTTCTCAGGTCCCAGCCCAGAAGTGAGGACTCCAGAGCCCCCACTTCTACTGTTGCCCACGGAGCCCAAGGGGAGTGGCCCTATGCAGGAGTGGCTGCAATGGCCAACATCTGAGCTGGGCTTCACTCAGCTCCTGCAGTTTCTGGGGCTAGTCCTCACTCTTCCTTGTTATGGACTTTCACCATAGAATTACAAATGGTTACAGTTCACTTGGGAGGCAGCCTTTCAAGGTGGTGAGGCTGGGTGGTGAGGAAGAGGAACATCAAGTCCTGCCCTGCGCCAGCTGTGTTCTAACCAGCCACTGGGCTTCTGAGTGTTTCGTTCATTCCCCGTCATATGCCTGCCTGCCCATCTTATAGCTGAGGAAATGGCACAGACCAGTCACTCTGCTGGTCTGTGGTGTGGCAGGATGTGGAGATGATAAAGGGAAGGCCCACATCCACATCCCACCTCTTCCCAGAGCAGCTGATGAGCCTCATAGATTTTGGGGGCCTTGGTCTCTCGTTCTTTAGATGTGAAATTGGGCTCTGGGAAGGAGGGCAGGAATTCCCATATGGGAATCTTGTTCCATGCTTGTACCTGGGATTTGGAGTCAGTGGCAGAATTGGGGACAGGCAGGATTGGAAGAAGTCCATAACCCAAACCTTGAGGTCCTGCAGAGGTTCAGTTAGCCATGGCCCTGGCCTGCCCTCATCTCCCAAGGAAGCAGAGGGTGTACCAAGAGGCTGAGGATGGGCCAGACCTCGTGGGCCCAGCTGGAGGCCATGGGCAGCCTCTCCAAGCCCAGGGTGAACTGGAGGATGCACTGTGTTGAAGCTGGGTACTCTGAGTACTGCAGACCTGTTTTGAATCTCACTTCTGTTCCAACTTGCCTCCCTGTCCAAGCTGAGGTTGCCCAGTGCAGTGTGACCCTGGGCCAGGTGGCCTGGGTCCCTGTGAGCTGCCTGTGTACAAATGACTGGGGTGAGGCACTCTGTCCACAGAAAGTGGGCTTGAGGAGCCAGCCTTGTGGGCACCCCTGCCAAAACCAGCTCCTTCCCTGCAGGCTCCTTCCTGACTTTTAGAAAAAAGAAAAAAATTGGCAGCCCTGAGCTCACTCAGCTTCTGAGATGCCACTGGGGTTTTAGTGAATTCCTCTTGGCCCCAGGGACACATTAAACTGGGCATTTGTTCCCTGCACCGCCCAAGACATGGGCAGAGGTCTCAGTGGGAGGGTCCCAAGTGTGACTCCTGGCAGCTGGGTGGTGGGGAGATGAAGCCTCACACCTGTGCAAGATGGGCTCTGACTTCGCCCCAACTTGGGTGACCTCCTCAGGATAGCACCTTCCCTGGGATTCATCTGTACAGTGGTCACCTCTCGGGCCCAGATCTCTCCCTACAGCTCAAAGGCCCTCCCCAGAAGGCCTGGGGTACCAAGGTCAGGCATGAGGAAAGTGAATCAACCCTGAAATCCGCCCCCCGCCACCCAAGGCCCTACCACATAAAGCTCCCCGGGCCCCCTCCCCAGTGTGGACATGAGGCTGTGCCATGTCCTGGGTGGCCCTTAGCTTCAAGGTGGACGAGCTGGGTTCAAATTCTGATCTGCCCCTCCCTCATGGTGGCCCTGAGTAAGCCCCCTTGAACTTTAGTCTTCCACTCTCTAGAATGGGAGAACAGTGCTCTTTCTTACTGTTAGTATACTTGGTGGGTGGTGGAACTTCCCAGACTGTGGCCGGGGGTGTACAGATGGGAAAACTGAGGCCCAGTGAAGGGAACTTGTCGTCGAGGCTACACTGCAAGCCTGCAGTCAGCTAGGGCTTGACCAGAGCCCCCTCCCCACCAACCATCTGGCCTGCAGCCTCTGGCCAGTGCTCCTTATCACTGCATGGGTTGAATAGGAAGCATATGGCTCTGTGGGTAGGAAATGTCCTGGCCAGGAAGGGCAAATTGGTTGAGGCCCTTGCTTGCTCCCAGGGGCCCTGAGACAGTGACCAGACCCCCCAGAACCTCCTGGCATGTTTGCTCCATGGCCCTGTTGCACACCTAAGGCGCTCAACCACCACGGGGGCTGGGGACTTCTGAGCACTCAGCCTCACAGGTGACCCTGACCCCAGCCCCCTCTGCAGGGCCGGAGGAGACCGTGGTGTCAGTTCACAGAGCTTCTGAGTCCTGGGACCTGGGTTCAAATCCCAGTGCAGCCCTCACTTCCTATTGACTTTGGACACATTTCCTCCCCGTACAGCCTCAGTTTACCCCTGGGAAGTGATTGTGAAGACAGGGACTCCCTGGAGGAAAGCGCCGAGCTGAAGGGTGAATAGGATGACGGGCTGTGCCCTGGGCACCCAAGGTGCAGGGCAGTGGGGTGCTGCTGCTGCTGGCGCCATTGTGTATTTGAATGTGTGTGTGGTTGCATAGGCATGAAATATTTATACAGCTCAAGAGAGTTCAAGTAAAAGAGGAATTCTCCCTCCTGCCCAGAAGCCTCCACAGTTAGCCGCGTGTGTGTTTGTTAATGCATACATGCATGTGTATTGTGTGCATGTGTGTACATGTATGTGTACGGGTATCTACACATGTGTTTGTGCATGTGTAGCAGGTATATGTGTTAGTGTGTACTTACATGCATATATATATTGTGCTTCTGTGTATGTGTGTATAGATGCATGTGTACGGCGTGTATATGCTCATGAATATGTGTATTTGTGTATGTATAGCTCCCCTGCCCCCAGAAGGTAGAAGCTCCTTGGAAGACCTGCACCTGGCTTTTTCTCTGGGATTGGGGATTGGGATGAGGCCCCAGAGTGGCCTCAAGGGAAGACGTTTTGGTGTTCCTGGTTTATGAAACTTATGGGCACATGGCCAGCTGGGCCACTTCGCAAGAGCAGAGCTGGGAGATAGCCTGGGTGCTTTTGAGGTGGGGCACAGACCCTGGGAAGGAGTGATGCGCCCTGGGTATTCTTGGCCAAGGCGGGCGGCCCACCCAGCTGTGAGTGCAAGTGTAGGCCTGGCATGGAGGCGAAGGAGAGACCCCACTTGAAGAAAGAAAGAGGCTGCACATGGAATTTCCCAGAGAGCAGGGCCAGGGCACTGGGTTGGACAGAGAAGGTTTTCCCAGCGAGCTCTTGGGTCTAGAATTTTAAACCAGGGGAATTTGCTGCTTAAGAACAACTGACACTGAGGGAACACAGGACACGGGAGTCTCTGTTCCCATGCTCTCCCTCCTGAGCCTGTTATTCTAGATTAAATTTAAACTCTAAAAGATACAATGTAGTGATGACCTAGAGGGCTGGATGGGGAGATTGGGCTGAAGGTTCAAGAGGGAGGGGATGTATGTGTACATACAGCTGTTCACTTTGTTGGACAGCAGAAGCTAACACAGCATTGTAAAGCAGTTATACTCCAATTTAAAAAAGAAGATATAATGTAAACATAGTTTTATTTCTGTATTTCTGTAATTTCCATGATATGTATAGTTCTGTAATCTCCATGCTTTCTCTAACTACAGAAAGTAGAGGTTTGCCCTCCCCAGAACCCCCACCTCCCATCCCTGCATCTTTCATGAGTCTAGAAATAAGATCTCCTGAATGGCCCCAGGAGGCCTAGGCTCAGGGAGGCCTGTGGACAAGGGGCCAAGGCTGAGGGGTACAGGTTAGTTCTGGGAGGTTGGGGAAGGGCCTGGCCAAGGGCAGCTTGAAGAGGGCAGACGGGCTGGCTGCCAAGAGGAGGCCAGGCAGCTTAGAGTTGTCTTCAAGTGAAACAGCCGTCCCAGAGGCAAACTCCAGTCCCTTTGGGGAGCGGTCTGTGTGGCCTGGACTCCAGCTTCTGAGGCCAGCCTTCTCCCTAACTCCCCTCCCTGCTCCTGCCCCTGGAGAGAACCTAACCTGCAGAGAAAGTCAGCTCTGGGTGGGACCTTGAGGCCTGTCACTTGAGAGTGACAGGGGCCTGGCCCTGAGGACTGGGGATGTTCTCAGGCAGAAAGTGAGGGAGGAAGTATCCGAACTTGTGTTTGCATTTTATCAATACAAACATGAAGGCAGGATAAGCTCTAGAGAGCCACACGCCATGACCAGTAGGGCACTCTAAGGGTGACCTCACGTTTCTTATCACAAATACTAGTAATAACAGGTCAGGAGGAGACTCTGGAGGGGTCGATGTGTGGTGATGGTGTCATGGTGCATACTTAGCTGCAAACTCCTCAGGTTGTTCGTGTCACTCACATCTCACTCAGTAAAGTGGTTTAAATCTGTTTTTAATAAAAAAGTAAGGAAGAAGCTAAGTTTAGCTGTAGATTAGAATACTGAGGCATCTCTTGAGCACCTGCTGTGTGCCCGGACAGCTGGGAGATGGCCTGGGTGGATCAGCCATCCCAGGAAGGCTTATTTCACATGTGGGCGAGTGTGTGGAAATCTGAGATCCAGCTGCTGTCACGTCACTTCCTGCCCTGGCACCAGTCACCTCCTGAAGGGAAGGGCGGGCAGGGGCACGCAGGGGAGGCTGCCAAGCGGCCCCACCCATGGCAGGCAGATGGTTGGCAGCATTTTCCTGTCTAAAACCAGAGTGCGCTGAGGTTGTGTTTTCTTTCCTTTCTCTTCCAGGACTTGATTCCTAGGGTGGGTCTTGCAGGGCTGTACAGTCTTCTTCTCTGGGCCTATTGTTCTGTTAAGCAGCACATCCCTTTCGAGCCTCATCTGCTGACCTGATCTACCCTCACCTTCTTGCCAGTACCTAGGAAGGAGACCAGGTTCAAAGTAGGGGACACCAGGGTGGGCCCGGGCCTACAGCCCCCTGCTGCAGAGCCTGGCCTGACCACCTCGCTCCCTGCAGCCTAGCCGCTGGGGCAGGAACCGGCCCATCAACATGAACCATTATGCCAACAAGAAGAGCGCTGCCGAGAGCATGCTGGACATCGCACTGCTGATGGCCAACGCCTCCCAGCTGAAGGCTGTCATTGAGCAGGGCACTGGCTTCGCCTTCTTCATCCCCCTGGTGGTCCTCATCTCCATCTCCCTCGCGCTGCAGATTGGCGTGGGCGTGCTGCTCATCTTCCTCGGTGCGTGCCTGGGCAGGGGGCTGCAGCCATGGGAGGGCCCTGGGGTACCCCTCTCCTATGGTCAGCTGATTCTGCCTGTACACACTCTGGGATGGGTCACTTACCCGGCTGAACGTTTTGCAGGCCCTCACGAGCCACACAGGAGCCCCAGCCCACCTCAGTAAGCTGGGTGGTCCAAAATGTATTAACAGCTCCCACTGTGGCCCCCAGAGGGCCCCTCATGTCCCTATCCTTCCACTCACCCAAGCTGAGGACACAGGAAAACATCATAACCATGTTGTGGACATGTAATGGGCACCTACTATGTACCTGCTAGTCCTTAGGTGGTTCATAGGGATCGGGTGATGGTCCTGCCCCCCGGGTGAGGGTCAGGTGTAGAAGCAGCAAAAATTTGAGCTCCCCTTTGCCTCCGCCTGGCTGTGTGACCTCAGGCAGGTTACATGACCTCTTGGGCCTCTGTTTCCTTGCCTAGAAAGTGAGCGTAAGGACAGCCTTGGGTACATGTGGGAACGGCTTGATTATCACACGCCAGTGCTCACAATGGTGCTTGCCTATGTGTGTGCAGTACGTTGTGCGTTAGAATCCAAGCCTGGGCCTCGGGCCTCCACACCTTCCACTTCATGATGAGGTGCCAGGCCCCTCTGAGTTTCTTTTCACAGAGCAAGCGGGGCTGCAGCAGAGATCTCTCTGCAGCACAGAGATACCAGACTGCCTGAGCCAGGCCCCATTTTTGGCAGTGTTTTAAAGCAGGCATGTCTCTCTCTGGGGGTTGGGGGGGCGGTGTAGAAGAGGGCCCCATGATATCTCACAGCCCTGGGCAGTGCCTGCTCCTCTCACAGTTAGGTATGACCTCAACAACCCTGCCAAGCATGCCAAGCTGGACTTCCTCAACAACCTGGCCACTGGTCTGGTCTTCATCATCGTCGTGGTCAACATCTTCATCACTGCCTTTGGCGTCCAGAAGCCCACCATGGACATGGCGCCCCAGCAGTAGGGGCTCAGGTGAGCTGGCAGGGCCATCTGCAGCAGGGTCTGTTCCACCCGCTCACCCCACTGGGCTGCTGACTCAGCGTGGGAAACTCAGGGTCTTTTGTGCAGACCTCCCGTGACTGCATCTGTCCTTGCCCAGACCTTGCAGGGTGGGTGCCCCTGGGCATGTGCACCCCTACACCATACTCAGCCCACTGTCCTTGCTCAGAGAGACCCAGTGCCTGCCCAAGGTGACCCCACATGGGAGCAGAAGCCACAAGGAAGTCAAGTGAGCCTTGTAACACACTCAACAAGCCCCTCCTATAGGGAGGTTGTGGGGGCTCAGATGCAGGCAACCGGGATTGTCATGAGGGCAGATACAGAAGGCTGGCAGGTCTGGCACATGTCCTGGCCAGGGTCGCACAACACAGGTCCACAGGGCTCTGGACCCAGCAGTCCTCAGGCCTGCCACAGAGGCGAGGCGGGTGCCACAGACAGACAGCTGTCCATCCACAGCAGAGTGGACAGGAGACTGTCTCTACACAGCAAACACCTGTGTGTCAGGGACATAGGAGGAAACCTTCCAGATTGACCAAGTGGACGATGAAGCAAGATGCTGGGAGCAGGGCCTTTGTGTGGCCCCGTTGTGAGTATCTGGCTCCCACTTGCCCCGCCATCACTATTGGCCCCACCTGGCATCGATTCCCTGCCCAGCTGCTGGCCCCAGGTTGTTGCTCCGTCTGTCCCTCGTGGAATCCTCTAGATGCCAGTCTGCTCCCTCAGCTCATCGGATGACAGGGGGGCCATTTATTAATCACCTGCTGTGTGCCCCAAACACAGTCTTGAGTCTCCCCAAGCATCAGCCTAGTGAGGAGGCCCCAAGTTCCCCACAGCACATGTCCACCCACCAGCCCCTGCTCTCAGGGGTGTCCTGTCAGAGCATGCCGGGCCAGGCTTTTAGACCCTGACAGCGTCCCACAGTGGCTCTCCCAGGTCAGGATTGGGCTGACTCTGGAGTCAGAGTGGCCCTGACATTTATGGGCTGGTTAGCAGACACCACGCTGAGGCAGGGTCACCAGAACAGAGCTGGAGGCTCCTCTGGCCTTGGTGACTCCATGCCTCTCCTCTCTCTTCTCTGCAGGTGCCCCTGGATCGTGCCTGGCCGAAGCTGCCTAGACACAGGAGGTGCCTCGCCCTTGAGGCCCATCATCCTGTGCACGGGATTCCCCTAAACTGCCGGAGCCCAGGCTGGCCCGGCTGGACTGCATCCAAATAAGCCACACGTGCTCAGGCCACTCTGGCAACACAGGGCCTGCCCCGTCCTCAACTGCTCCTCCTCCTGGAGCATGGAGTGGCCAGGCCCAGAAGATGGAACGGGTGAGCCCTCAACAAGGGTCATCGTTGGCGTGGACATGCAGCAGGCCCAAGGATAGGGGTCAAGGGGCTGGCCCCATCTTGGGACATTTCCAGAGAGACGAGGCGATGCCTGCCCTCTGCCAGTGCAGCAGCGTCCTGGCCTTGTGCGCTGCCCACCCTGGGTGACCTGTGACCTCTGCACTTCCTGACCCAGGACTATAGACCATCAGTGACCCTGTGGGACCCCCACCGTGGCCACTGACCCAGACCTCACACCTTCCACCAGCAGTAACTGGGCAGGGCTTTAGCCCCTTCTTGGGGATCTGAGCCCCCACTTTTCTATGTATAACACCAATAAAGCTGATTCTTCTCCTCGTGTGGCTCCCAGCACCACCCTCCCCGCCACCCAGGCCTGGGTGCTGCACTGTGCCCCTCAGACCCCCAGCCTATACAACCCTCCTCTCTCCCTGCCTCCAAGCCTCTGGTTTATGGGAGGAGCAACCTTTGTTGGCATCTCCAGACATCACCCCCACATGCATTTCCTTGGGGCAGTCAGCTCAATGACCCCTGACCAGAGCCTCGTGAAGACTTCTAGCACTCCCACATTTCCTGCAGTTTACATGCCCAACTAGCTCCGTTCTATACCCACAGTACTGGATCAAGGAGAGTGGGGCTGATGCCAAGCCAGCCTCGACCCTGCAGAGACACCATTGAGGCCCAGGTGCTGTCTCTGGGGGCTCACGGAGCCACCTCTCACCTGGCTGGGACCCCCAGCTCCCTCCGTGCATCCTGTGACCACCCTGAGCCCTCACTCTCGCCCCCTTGTCCTCTCCTTTCTGACCCTTGCTGGCCCCATTCCCTCATCTCGAGTCAGCAATGCCCTCGCCTGGGCCTCTCCCCGGGGGATACCTGAGAACTCCCTCCAAGCAACTGGAGCCTGGGGAAGGGATGCAGCCCCCAGGAGCTCCCAAGGCCCCTCCCCCACATTTCTCTTGCCCTCCCCACTTTGAGCCTGGGACAGCTCCAACAGACTTTCAGATGACCCCAGAGTCTTCTGTGGGGCTGAAAGATGAGCACAGAGTGATTGATAAACGAGTGCTTATGGGTGAGATGATCTAATCTGAGCTTTGCTTTAAAATGAATAACTCAGGGAAAAGGGACAGGGAAGCAAGATTGGAAATGCTAGGGACTGCAGAGCTGGGGCCCCAGAGCCAGCTCTCTGCTCTGCTGAGTGTCCAAATGTCCCGTAAAGAAGGCTACTAAAGGTGATTCACACATGGGATGAGATCCCTGAAGAAGCAAGACCAGCAGGTGGGCAGTGGGTGGACACATGTTCCCAGAGGAGCCGATGAGCCTGGGGCCAACTTGGTCAGAGGAGGGCAGATGCACAGCTGTCAGGGGGCTGGGCTCTGGGACCAAGTGGTAGAGGCCAACCTCTGCGGCTGGTGACCATGAGCACTCTGGCTGTCTCACTGCCAGGAAGCAGCAGGGGTCAGTCTCCTGGCTGTGAACCTGCCCCACTACCTGGCCCTCGTGGTGGATCAAGGGTGGTATCTGGGCCCATGCCCCCAGGTCCAGCCCCACTCATGGCTCTGCACAAGTGAAGGCTACCCAGAACTATAGCCCTGGGGTAGCCTGAAGCAGTCTGTGGCCTGTGGTGTGGGCTGCCTGACAGCCACACCAGGGGGGTGCCAGCCTGTGTGGACCATGGACATGGCCAGCAGATGGCTGAGTTCCTCCTTTGGTTAGGACAGGAAATTTACCCAGAACCGAGAGGGTAAGCCCCAAATGGCTGGATGGGTCCTAGGTCACCATATCAGGCTGGCCCCTACAGGCACTAGGGGCATTGGGAACAGCGCATGACAGAGGGTGGGTATGTGCATTCAGCCCCTGACAGCCTCTGCCCCAGCTGCTCCCCCACAGGTACCCCTGACAGCCCCTGATCTCCCCACCCACCAGCGCCCAGGCTCATGTCAGCAGACCCGCCCCCGACCCTCACTGCGGATGTACTCGTGTCTCAGGGCCTTGGCTTGTGCTGCAGGTCTCTAGCGTCAGGGCTGTGCCCTGAGTCTTCCCCACTGGCCCTCCTGACCACTGCTTCTGGTCACTGTCACAGTGGGCCATTTGGGTTTGCTTGGCCTTTGATGTCATTGGTTGCATCACTGCCCACAGTGTCCCTCTGGGGCCCTCATCTGAGCCCTGACTACCCCCACATCATCTGGCCCATGATCAGGGCTGTTGCCTGAGAAGGAGGGTCCTGCTCACCATCTCCCTGAAGACTAAGGGAGCTCTGCCTGAGCTGGGGAAGGAGGCGGACCCCTAATCATACTTGTACTTCTATTTGATCTGCTCTGCCCTTCCATTTGATGCAACGACTCAAAGCCTGTGCTCAGCACTGTGTCTGGCATACTTAGTCTAGGTACTTAGTATATGTCTACGATAGATCCACTCCTTAAGTTCCAAGCTCTGCACATGTGTTACAGTGGCCAAGGGATAGACAAAAAAAAAAAAAAAAACGGGGCCCAGAGAGCCAGTCAGGGCCAAGCCCTGCTGTGCAGCTGCCCCTCTGGGGACCCCACTCTGCTGTCCCAGGGGACGGCAGAGACCCTGAGAGTAAGCAAGGGGCTCAAGGAGTAAGAAGCAAGGAAACGTGTGTGCCGAGTTGGGAGACTCCACAGAGGGACACACGCAGGGAAGTCAAGAGTGGGGGAGCTCTCGAGGCTGATGCTCCAGGACCCAGGACCAGGAGGGAGCCCTGTGGAAGGACAAGCCTGTGGTGCATGAGCCCCAAGGCCACGTGAGCTGGGGCTGGCCTTAAAGGACTGTAGGATGGTCAGTGCGGGGAAGGGGAAGTCACGAAGAGCTAGGAATTGGGGCGACTGAGCTGGGAGGATTTTGTGCTTAACTTCCTTGCTGTACAATATAGAGAGATGATGACGGATGGATGACAAAAAGATTATAGATTGATGGACAGATGGATGGAAGACAGATAGATGATAGATAAATAGGTATAGATAGATGACAGATAGGGGTAGGGATAGATGAGTCATCCCCAGGTCACCCTGGAGTTCTCCTCCCCTGACTCTCCATCCCCATTGTCCACCCTTCAAGGCTCAGGCCCACTTGATCTGAGAGAAGGAAGGACAGGGTGAGGCAGGGAGCTCTGAGAAAGGTGGGCCAGGATGGGATGGGATGGGGCCAGTGGAGTGAGAAGGTGGACTTCTGCTGCAGGATAGAGTGGGAATGTTCCTTCCTTCCACACCTGCCACACCCACCTACCCACTTCCCTCCCTCTCAAGCAACTTTTCTCCCACCTGCCTTTAATGGAATTTAATTCCTCTTTTCTCACTACATTAAAGAATCCACGAGCAGAATGTTCTAACATTTTTCTTCTCTCTCTTAAGTATTTATTTTAGTGGAAACTAAGCTAACTGCTTAAGCTTCTGGGTCTGTGTGTGGCCCAGGGAAGATGCCCCATGGCAGCAGTGCCCCCCACCCCAGGCCCTGCCCTAGGCCTCAATGCCCTCTGAGGGGATATGGGGCTCCAGTCCTGCCTCCAAGTGGGATAAGAATTGAGGTGCCAGCTGCCACCGAGCCAGCGCTGAGGAAGGGCACCTGCTCCACGCTCCCAAACCCCCACACTGTCTACAAGATTGGGGCCCCAGGGCCCATCCAGCAAGGACCTGACCTGCAACTTGGTCAGGTCTGGGGTTTGCGCAGAGGTTTTGGTGTGTGGTGTGGGCACTCTGAGATAGTCCTCAGAGCGCTGACCTGGCGGGTTGAAAATAACCACCCCAGATTCCAGCAGTGTCAGCACCCCTATCCAGATCTTGTGCCTTCTCCCAGAGGGGAACCCTGCATTGTGCAAATTGCAGTTGCATTTCCGGCTCCATAGGCAACAGCCTGTTACTTCATTGGGCCTGAAGCCACATCCCTGAGAGCATCTAGGGCCCTAACTGCCTCCATCACAGGACTTCTGCTCTTCACATACACACCTCCTTCACAGACACACTCCTCCTGAACAACCCCATCACTTCCCTCCCTTCCACCCTCCTCACATCCTCCCTCACTCCCCTCCCAACACCTGGGAGCTCTTCCCCACCCAGGCAGACCGGAGATGGGACAGTCATCCCAGCACTGAGGTAGCTGAGGTACTGTGGTAGATGAGGAACTACTCTTCTTACTAGAGTTCGGGGGGTACTTTCCCAGTTGAGGTGGCATTTTACCAAAGATCTGAAGGTTAAGTAGGTGGGGGGAGTGGTTAGTAGTCTTCCAGATGAGGGAATAGCATGTGCAAAGGTGGGGGTATGGATCATGAGCAGTTCCAGTTGTTGAGCTATGGAGGTAGGGACAGGGGACAGAAGGTAAGGGCCTGTCCCAGGGGGCCAGCAAGTAAGACTGTGGCCCTTGGCCTCTTTCACACCTTGATGGACTTAATTCATTCCAGGTCATGGTTACTGACTGTGCAGGTAGTTGGCAGGGGGGCCTCATGGGGAGAGTGCTGTGCCTAGACATGGATGCTCCATGGTTCCACCTCCCCCAGTCCCAGCCTACGAGTGTGGTCATAGTATGGCAGCCACAAGCCAGGGGCAAGCAGATGGGAGAGGGGCCTGGCTGGTGTCTGTGCTGTTGCCACAGACTTTGGTTGTGGGCACCAGGTCCAGGCACAGTTGGAGAAGGGGCCATTGAGGCTGGGATCCACAGAGGGGGTTCAAGAACAGCCTGAACTCGGGGGGCTGTTTTGGACCACCAGGGCGAGGCCTTGGGTGGGTCATTGCTGAAAGGAGAAAGTCAGCATTCGCAAGATGTGGCCCAGTTCGAGCTAAGGGAATCGGTGCCCTGGACTACCGCAGCTCACCAGCTCACCTGAGGCCCGGGAACGGCACCGCCTGCCCCTCATTCCGGGGATGGAGCCCTGCCACAGGGCCTCACGGGTGAGTACTTAAGTACCAGGACCTTCTCTGCCACAGGGCCTCACAGCTAAGTGCCAGGACCTTCCCTGCCACAGGGCCTCATGGGTAAGTACTTAAGTACCAGGACCTTCCCTGCCACAGGGCCTCACAGCTAAGTGCCAGGACCTTCCCTGCCACAGGGCCTCACGGGTAAGTACTTAAGCACCAGGACCTTCCCTGCCACAGCCTGTTTCTGGGATGTGCCCTCAAAGGTGTTTCTACTTAATAGTTCAGGACTGCTAATCACAAAGGATATATATCAGGGGGGTATATAAGTAACATTTATTTCGGGAGACTGGAAGACTGAGATCAAGGCACTGGCTATCTGGTGTCTGTTTTGCCTGCACCCCACACACAGTGGCCGCATTGACGTTTACCCGGATGTCTCGATCACTTACAGTCAGGCATCTGGCACCTTCACCCAGCGGTGCCCTTTACCCAGTTCTATCTGTCACTTTTACTGGGCACGTGCCACTTTTACCCAAGCACGTCTGTCAGAGAGCAGGACTATCCAGCTCAGGATATCCATGCTCAAGGAGGGGTCCTGTCTCTTTGAATAGATGGGTCAACTAAGGCTCAGAATCTAGAACCACACCCCCAAGACCGGCAGGGCAGAGATGGAAGAGCTAGCGGTAAGCCGTGCTGTCTGGGGCTTCAGGGCGGGCGGGAGGGCTCCTCTGACTGGCTCTCCCAGGCCCTGGCCCTCACTTTAATGACTGGGCATACAAATGAGTGAATGAACCCACAGGCTGACTGAACGAGGGCCAGAGACCACATCGTGATGCTAATTCCTCTGCTTCCCGTCTTGCTTCCCTCCCACACGCTGTGAGAGACTGAGGGACGCGGGCGTGGAACTCCTCCTGAGGGCCTGCCCAGCGGCAGCATCATTCCTGGCGTCAGCCTGCTGTACCTCTGGAAACCCCCGGTGGGAAATGCAAGCACATGATGATTCTTGGGCTGACATACTTCTGTTTCCCCAGAAAGAGGCTGGAGGGGAAGGAGATGACAGAGGGAGGCAACGGGGAGAGGAACCCATCAGGGGCCAAGCCTTGTGCATGCGCACGTGTGTCTCTGTGCACTGTGCACACCTCTCACGTCTGTGTGCACGTGTGCGCGCGCGCACGTGGCGAGGGCACTCGGGTGCCGTGTGGTCCTGGGCGCTGAGCTTCAGCTCCCTCACTGGTCATGAGGGTACCCGCAGCGGACAGGGGCCATGCGGTGGGGACTGCCAGGGCCAAGGGCAGAGCACCAAACCCTCTTGGATGTGTACACTCACCCTTCTGTGTCTACAGGGACATTTCCACGACAACATCCTGAGCCTGAGGCCAGGAGGTGAGACAGATGGGTGCAAGCTCCCTGGCTGAGGAGACAGGCCCATCTCCCCAAGGCAATTACAGGGCTCGGCTCTGAGAACAAGGGGCTGTGTGTGGCCAACAAGCAGCTCCCCCAGGCTGTTAGGGGAGGGTGTGAGGAGCCAGGGCCCAAGACTTCGGATGGCACAATTACACTTTTCATCTTTAACAGTCCTAGAGGGCTCTGTGGACTCTTTCTCTGTCTCAGCCTCCTCTCCACCTGGGATCAGGGATAAGATTTTGTGTTCATTTCTAGGCTCCGACCATATATGTGTCCCTGACCCCCAAAGCCAAGGTCACCGCTTCCCCAGGAGGGAGGGGCTCCATCTCCCGGACAGTGGGGTCTGAGGAGCCTCACAGGGCCCAGGAACTGGGTGTTGGCTCTGGTGACTAGACAGAGACAAGAGGGCTGATGGGGGGTATCTCCCTGAGACATATCATAGGGAGGGAATGAAGATGGTGGTCGAGCCCCTCACATGCCGGGTCCTCCTTTCTTGGCTCAGTGACCTCCCCTTTCAGTCTCAGCTTCTTCATCAGGAAAGCAAGGGCAGCAGCCCCCACCTTCTGGGGCTGTGGGAGGAGTCAAAGGAACACATGGAAGCACTAGAGCATCACAAGGCATTTGGCTGGTGCCCCTCCATGGCCCTCCCCTAACGGCCTGGGGTTTGGCCACACGCAGGCCCCTTGTTCTGAGCCAAGCCCTGTAATTGCCTTGGGGATAAAGGCCTGTCCCCTCAGCCAGGGAGCCTGCACCCATCTGTCTCACCTCCTGGCCTCAGGCTCAGGATCTTGTCATAGAAATGTCCCTGTGGACACGGAAGGGTGAGTGTACACATCCAAGAGGGTTTGGTGCTCTGCCTTTGGCCCTGGTGGCCCTGTGAGCCGAGGAAGGGTAACAGAGCAGTCCAGAGGGCCTGCCTGTCCATCCTCCAGACCTGGGGCTGAGGACTGGGACAGAGCAGAGATGGGCAGGGGCGGGTATGGGAACCAACAGTGCTCCAGGTAGGAGATGGCAAGAAGGGTTCAAGGTAGGGAGTTCTTCAGAGCAGCAGTGGAAGAAGGCCACAGAAGGAGGGAACAGGACACGTGCAGGGCTGTATCTGGAAGTGTGCACTGGGGACGGCCGGGGACACCTGGGGTGGGTAGTCCACGTGCAGGGGTGAGACCCAGCCCCGAGGAGTCCGGGAAGGCGGCCTCAGCAGGACCTGGGTCTTGGGTTGGACTCAGGAAGTGAAGAACCCACAAGATCAACCCTAGCTAGAGACGCTGTCATTTCTTGAATTGGAATCATCTAGAAAACACTCCTGGGAGAAGGGATGAGACTCAAACATTTAATATTGTTGAACACCTCTGTACAATGAAAGTAAAGTGCTTATTACAGAAATTATAAATAGCAAGAAATAAACACTTAGGAATGAAGCAAGCCCCTGGAGAGCAAACACGCAGGTGGGCCGGGCTGAGGTCAGAGGCCCCCCAAGTCATCTGTGAGAAAGGCCAGCAGGAAGCGGCTGACGTGCCTGTCAATGATGACAGGGGAGAAGCCCAGGACACGCCGGGCCCCTGGCAGCACCTTGGGGTCTGGAAGACAAGGGGGTCTCAGAACTCCTCAAGAAGGTACCTTCTCTCATCCTCGCAGCATCACCAGCCCACACCTGAGTGATGTGGGGTTCCCATGCCAAGAGGGTCTGCCTGGCGCTACTCCCACCCAGGACCTGGACAAGGTCAGCAAGGCAGGAAAGCGACGGCAGGCATGCCACACTGCGTCACAAGGAGGGGCCTCAGGTGTGGGCCTCCGTCCATCTGGCAGGGCTCAGCCCCAGGATGTGGAGAGGGCTGGCTGAGGCCTGGCCAGGCAGCACCCACCTGGAGGACAGCAGTAGATGAGGAGCGCCAGGCCTGCGGCCAGGCCGAGGCAGGTCAGGAAGGCCACAGGTCCTGGGGAGAAACGCAGGTGAGCAGCTTCGCGAGCCCTGAAGGGTGGGGAGGGGTCCAGAGGCCTCGAGGACAGGCTCACACCCTGTGCTGGGGTCAGCCAGGCAGGGATGCCCCTAGTGAGCACCCTGATGGGGTCTGTCCAATGGGCAGCCAGGAACGGAACCCAACTTGGAATGAGAAGCCCCCGAGACAGAGGTGGAGCCCTGGGTCAGGGGACAGAGAAAAGGGATGTGGGAGGCGGTTACCCCTGTCACTGAGCTCACGGCTTGCGGTGCCCGAGTCTAGCTCTGTGCAATCTGAGTTCTCTGGAAACAAAATCACAGGGCGTGGTTAGTCATGGGGGGCTGGAGAGTAAGGTGGTCACCTGCCATCGAGAAACCAAGAAGGCCGCCAAAGCCCTCCCCGAAGACCACCCAGGCCGCTTGGGTTGTGCAGGTGCCGAGCCCTCCAGGCTGTGTCTGGGGCCAGGGAGAGGGGGGGGCAGTCAGCACCAGGGAAGGACCCCTGCACAGTTTGGGGCTCTTCTCCTTTTGTCCACTTATGGGAACTTGAGGACCATGGGATGGGGATTTCACTGTTCCCTGGCAACCACAAGGCACCCAACAGTGCAAACACCTGCCTGTGCAAAGTCTGATGATGCTGAGTTGAGGGCAGGGCGCTCTTTCTCTTTCCCCAGACCTCTCTGGGGGTCCCCAATCAACCAGCTCCTTGATAACCCTGAGGGCACCCTGGAAGGTCCCTGACTCCAGGCAGGGCTGTGTGGTCCTGACAGCTGGGGTGATAGGACCGTTCCATGCCGCAGCTTAGGGCCCAGTCCTGCCTGCCTGTCCTTGGGGTCCCCGGTCCAGCTGAGTGGCCTGAGGGGAGCCACCTCTCCCCTCACGGCCTCCAGCCTTTCATGAGAGGATTGAGGGACAGTAGCCACTCACCCTGGGGACCTGGGTGCAGAGGCTTCAAGACTGAGCTGCCATCCGTACCCGTGGCTTCCCTGTACCCATACTGGCAGCTCAGAGGATCCCTCTCAAGCTTCCTGGGCCATGGGCTGGCACTTCTAAACCCAAATACCTTGTCCGTGACCAGCCATATGTGCCAGAGACTGTTGTACAGAAACACCCACGCCCTGACGATCTACCTGGGTGAAAGCAGATACAACCTCTGTCCTGGGAGGCAGTTCACTCAAGGCTGGTGTAGCCTACAGCTGTGAGCTAATTCTGATCAGAAGGGTAAGGATTCCCAGGTTCATTCAATTATAGAGGAATGGGGAGGACTACACGCACCAGATACTTTTGTGTAAGAAATAGCAGAAGCAAAAGGGAGACAGAGAGATGGAGACGGACACACACAGCAACATGGAGAGACAGAGACAGGGAGCTTGGAGACAGAGAGATCTGTGTTGCCTGAAAACACTCTCTCTACGCTCTCTGAGGGTCACACAAGACACAACCAGAGGGTTGTCTCTGGCGAAGGGCTGAGCAAGGAGATGCCAAGGCCAGGCGGCTGGGACACGCACTTACGCAGGGCGTGCCGGCTAGGCAAACAGCTGTGCAGAGGCTGGGCGTGGATGTACAGGGCCCGGTAGAACTCCTGGCAATCCCGCTCACCGCTCCGCTGCAGATGGCCCAAGAGGTCACAGAGACGCACTCGCAGAGACACCTTGGGGTTCCGGAACTGGAGGAGGAAGGGGCACAAGACGAGATCAGGCTGGAGGACTCTGGACTCAGCCCCAGCCCCAACCTTCTCAATGGCTGTGATTCCACCTTGGTGGCTGGAACACCCATGGGGAGGTAGCAATTGCTACCAAAGGCTCAACCACTCCCACGCAGTGCCCAAGACTGTGCTACACGTCACTAATCCTTGCACTCCCATTGGAGGCCTAGACAGGTCACCAAGAAAGATGGTGGTGACATTATGCCACCATAATGTCCATAAGTGTGGAAACTTAGCAGCTTGCTAACTTGGTTTTCCCACGTGTGAAAAAGGAAATAATAAACACACACAGTATGATCATTATAGGAAACCTTCAAGGTAATGGCATAAATGATAACTTCTAGTAGTTCATAGTCTATAGGAATGTGATTCAAGTTTTACAAAATATATCAAGGGTTAAGCAGAAAAAAGAGGTGGCTTTTTCGATGTGGCTGACTGAAACATACGTGGCTGTAAAGTCAGTGGACAGGGTACTTGCACTGACCCCCAGAACGTGGAGGGATGGCGGGTGCTGCCACCTGGTGGTGATGGGCCACTCTACAAGGAACTAGCGTTGAACCACAAGTACAGAAACTGCAAAGCAAAGGCAAGTGTGCAGCCGAAACCATGGGTATCTCCAAGGAAAGGAACCGTGCGGGTGTGTGTGTGCAGGAGTTTCCTTTTTCTCATGTAAACACCTGAAGCTTTTCAAATTTTTTAAAAATAATGAATGCATATTAGACTTTTAATTACAAGACAGAAATTTGAGCCCCTACTTTTTAACTTACTGCACTACTTTTATAACTCAACAAGCATCTGAGCCAGTAGCGGGGTGCAGGGTGGATTCTAGCTCTGTCGAGGATCAATATCGTCTGTCCCCTGGAGAGGCCTCAACCCTCCAGAGAGCCCTGCACAGGTGCCTCAAGAGGAGAAGGGCTCGCTCTGTCACCCAGCTGGAGGCAGGTCATGTGCCCCAGGGCCCCAGTCTCTGGCACCAACCCCCAGTGCCACAAGGGCACCAGAGACATGGGTGGGGTGCACAAGGGGCACCCACCCTCATCCAGTGTCCCCGAACAGGACAGGCCAGATCACACCCAAAGTGATTGACCATTTTGAACTTTTGGAAGATGCTGAGTGAAGAGTTCTGCAGCACTCAGTAGAGTGAATCTGGTATCCCTGCTCCCCTCCCACCCTGGTACTCCCCTGTTCCCCCTCCCAGGTCTGTCTCATGTTGTCACACATACCCTGTGATCCTCCAGCATTTCTGAAAGGGGCTAGAAGTTCTGATGACATCTAAAGAGACTAAAGCTCAAAGAGCTGATGTTCTAGGCCCAAGGTCACCCCAAGGAGATAGGTTTTCACCTTCAAGCTGTCCTGCCCCACCCCCCCTCCCCCAGCCCAGAGAGGAAGGAATGGGAGAGCAGCCTCAGGTTCCTTGGCACCTTTTCTGCGTCCTTGTTGCTGAGGATCTGGGGATAGTAGCGGTTTAGCTGGAGGATAATCCTGTCCACCTGCTGCTCGCTCAGGCGTCCGAGGCCGGTGAGGAAAGGAGTGTCCTGGACTAGGCGATCACAGTAGGTTTGCTCTGAAACAGAAGCAGAGAACACAGAAGGACATGAGCCAGCACAGCCCAAGGCGGGGGTGTAGAGTCCCACACACCGTGACACAGCCATGGCAGGAGCTCCACAGGAGGGCCCCGTGCCCACCAAGAGGTGTGCCAGCTGTAAGCATCTGGACAAGTGCTGACATCCCGACTCATGCACAGCCCAGGATTCCCCCAAGTCATGCCAATCCCCCTGCAAAACAGTGGGGTGGGGGGGGGTGCAGTGATAAAGGTACAGAGTGCTCAAAAGCAGACCAGAGCCTCTGGCTCCTCCTCTCTTCTATGCCTGAGAGCTTATCACAAAAAAACTCAGAAGGGTGAAGAGTTTGCTGTCTGTGGAGTCCCCCAGTGCTCTCTGGAAATAGCCAGGCCTGAGGAAGGACACAGCAGCACAGAGAAGGCCCAACTCCAAAGCTCCTACAGCCACTGTTGTCATGGGGACAGGAGACAGACAGGCAGACAGGAGCTCAGGGCTTAGAGTGGCCTGGCCACTTTGAGCCAGCACGGCCGCCAGACACAGTATCTGCAAGGCCTTGGGAAGCTGCCACAAACAGCAGACCAACATGCCTGCTACCCAGGAGGCTGGGAAATGCTTTTCCTTTTGTTTTTTTCTTTCAGAATCATCATTCAACCATCACTGTTACACTATCTTTCCCATTAAGAATGTCCCTTAGAATGACAGGCCTTTAAAGGCAGGGAGTGGATGGGGAGAAGTTGGTGGGCAGATGGCAAAGAATCTCTGAGGAAAGGTCCCAAGTCCCTGCAGCCCTAGCTACCTGAACAAGTGCACCACCTTACCTATGTGAGGCAGCTTGTCCTGTTTCCTGGTGGACCCAGGGGATGGGGGGTTGGTGCGTGGGCAGGCAGAACTGTATAGGAGGTGTTTCTGTATGTGACTGAAGTTAAGCTGGCATCAATTCAAATTAGATAGCTGTAACTTTACCATATTAAACATAACGCCCACGGTAACCACAAAGAAAATGTCCACTGAATATACACAAAAGAACATCAAAGTGTGTTACTACAGAAAATCAACACAAAAGGAAGTAATGGAAGAAATGAAGGACAAAAAAGCTATAAGACATAAAGAAAAACAAACAGCAAACAGGTAGAAACAAGTTGTCCCTTATCAGTAATTAAATGTAAATCAATTAAACTCTCTAATCAAAAGACACAGATTGACAGAATAGATTTGTGATACTGTGATTTACAGTAGGAAATATATATTCACTCAGTCATGTCCGACTCTTTGCAACCCCATGGACTATGCAGTCCATGGAATTTTCTAGGCCAGGATACTGGAGTGGGTAGCCTTTCCCTTCTCCAGGGGATCTTCCCAACCCAGGGATCGAACCCAGGTCTCCCGCATTACAGGCAGATTCTTTACCAGCTGAGCCACCAGGGAAGCTCATGCCTACCTAAGGAAGCCTCCATAACCTTCCCCCCTACCAAAGTGGGGTTTGGAGCACCTCCCAGTTCCTAAACGCATGGAGGTGCCTGGGAGGAGCATGGAAGCTCCATGCCACTTCTCACATGTTTTGCCCTATGCATTTCTTCCACCTGGATGTTCACTTGTATCCTTGAAATATCCTGTGTAACAAACTGTGAACAGTAAGTGTTTTCCTGAGTTCTGTGAACTGCTCTAGCAAATGACAGTCAGGGGAACTCTGATTTATAGCTGTCAGCAGCCTGGACTGGTGACTGGCATTTCAAGTGGGGGCAATCTTGTGGGACTGAGCCTAAAGTGAATCTGTGGGATCTGACACTCTCCAGACAGATGGTGTAAGAACTGAGTTAAATCTATAGGACCCCCAGTTGGTGTCCACCAGAGAACTGGAAAACTGCTTGACAGAGGATAACCCCACACACATTTTGTAACCAAAAGTGTCAGAAATAAAAGCATTGAGAAATATGTATCGAAAAAAGAAACCAAGAAGGCAAAGCGGTTGTCTGAGGAGACCTTACAAATAGCTGAGGAAAGAAGAGAAGTGAAATGCAAGGGGAAAAGGAAAAGATGTACCCAACTGAAAGCAGGGTCCGGAGAACAGCAAGGAGAGATAAGAACACCTTCTTAAACGAACAGTGCAAAGTAATAGAGGAAAACAAATAGAATGGGAAGGAGGGACAGTACCACTGAACCGCAGCTATGACCGAGGCTGACGTCAATCCGAAGGCCTACCCTCTTGCCGATGCCCACCCCACCAAGAAACTATTGGACCTCGTTCAGCAGTCATGTAACTACAAGCAGCTTCGAAAAGGAGCCAATGAGGCCACCGAAACCCTCAACAGAGGCATCTCTGAGTTCATCGTGATGGCTGCAGATGCAGAGCCCTTGGAGATCATCCTGCACCTCCCGCTGCTGTGTGAGGACAAGAACGTGCCCTACGTGTTCGTGCGCTCCAAGCAGGCTCTGGGGCGAGCCTGTGGGGTCGCCAGGCTTGTCATCGCCTGCTCCGTCACCATCAAAGAGGGCTCACAACTGAAGCAGCAGATCCAGTCCATCCAGCAGTCCATCGAAAGGCTCTTAGTCTAAACCAGTGGCCTTGGCCACACTCCTAGCTGACTCCTCCTACCCCTACCCCTACCCCCACCCCGAGTTATGTATCATATTGTCTGTTAGCATGTAGTGTTTCCAGCTACCTTCTATTGTTATAAAATATTTTAATGCTCAAAAAAAAAAAAAGAACAAATAGAATGGGAAGACTAGAGATTTCTTCAAGAAAACTGGAGATATCAAGGGAGCATTTCATGCAAAGATGGACACGATAAGGGACAGGAACGGTATAAGGACCTAACAGAAGCAGAAGAGATTAAGAAGAAGTGGCAAGAATACACAGAAGAACTATACAAAAAAGGTTTTAATGACCCAGATAATCAGGATGGTATGGTCACTCATCTAGAGCCAGACATTCTGGAGTGTGAAGTCAAGTGGGCCTTAAGAAGCATTACTACACACCCCCTTTCACTTTGCCAACTGGACTTATGTCTTTATTGGTTATTCAAGTGGGGCAAAGGAAATAACCTTTTAACACTCAGGCAAACTGGGTGTCTGTCTTGTAACCTGTCAGAGGAAACAGTGTAAAAAAAAATAAATAAAAAGAAGCATTACTACAAACAAAGCTAGTGGAGGTGACAGAAGTCAGCTGAGTTATTTCAAATCCTAAAGGATTTTAAAGTGCTACATTCAATATGTCAGCAAATTTGGAAAACTCAGCAGTGACCATAGAACTGGAAAAGGTCAGTTTTCAATTCAGTCCAAAAGAAGAGCAAGGCCAAAGAACATGTAATCTACTGTACTACTGCGCTCATTTCACATGCTAGCACGGTAATGCTCAAAATCCTTGAAGCTAGGCTTCAGCAGTATGTGAACGGAGAACTTCCAGATGTACAAGCTGGGTTTAGAAAAAAGCAGAGGAATCAGAGATCAAATTGTCAACATTCACTGGCTCACAAGAGAAAGGAAGGGAATTCCAGAAAAATATCTACTTCTGCTTCATCGACTATGCCAAAACCTTTGACTGTGTGGATCACAACACACTGTGGAAAATTCGTAAAAGAAATGGGAATATCAGACCACTTTATCTGTCTCCTGAGAAACCTGTATGTGGGTTAAAAAGCAACAATTAAAACAGGACATGGAACAACTGACTGATTCACAACTGGGAAAGGAGTGCGACAAGGCTGTATATTGTCACACTTATTTAACTTAAAAACTTATTTACCTTAAATGCAGAGTACATCATGTAAAATGCTGGGCTGGATGAACCACAAGCTGGAATCAGAATGGTTGGAGGAATATCAACAACCTCAGATATGAAGATAATACCACACTAGTGGCAGACAGTGAAGAGGAACTAAAGAGCCTCTTGATGAGGGTGAAAGAGGAGAGTGAAAAAGCTGGCTTGAAACTCAACATTCAAAAAACTAAGATCATGGCATCCTGGTCCATCACTTCACAGCAAACAGAAGGGGAAAAAGTGGAAGCAGTGACAGATTTAATTTTCTTGGGCTCTAAAATCACCGTGGATGGTGACTGCAGCCATGAAATTTAAAAATGCTTGCTCCCTGGAAGAAAAGCTATGAGAAACCTAAAAAAGCAGAGACATCATTTGCCAACAAAGGTCCACCTAGTCAAAGCTATGGTTTTCCCAGGAGTCACATATGGATGTGAGAATTGGACCATAAAGAAGGCTGAGTGTTGATATTATGCTTTCGAATTTGGTGCTGGAGAAGACTCTTGAGAATTCCTTGGACTGCAAGGAGATCAAACCAGTCAATCCTAAAGGAAATAAACCCTGAAAGTTCATTGGAAGGACTGATGCTGAAGCTTCAATACTTTGCCCACCTGACGCAAAGAGCTGATCCTTGGAAAAGGTACTGATGCTGGGAAAGATTGAAGGCAAAGGAGAAGGGGCTGGCAGAGGATGAGATGGTTAGATAGCATCATTGACTCAATGCACATGAATTTGAGCAAACTCTGGGAGAGAATGAAGGACAGGGGAGCTTGGCATGCTACAGTCCATGAGGTCGAAAAGAGTTGGACATGACTTAGCAACTAAACAACATCATATTGAGAAAGCCTGCATGCAGCCATGAAGACCCAGTGCAGCCAACAACAACAAAACCAGTGCCCTCCTTAAAGCAGCCTGTATAAATGTTGACTCTTTCTGGCCAGGCTTGTTTGCAAAGGCTTTGGCCAGTGTCAATATCGGGAGCCTCATCTGCCACATGGGGGACTGGTGGATCTGCTCCAAGCAGCTGACGCTGCACCAGCAGTAGGTCCAATCCTCTTCACCACTGCTGCCCTAGCTGAGGAGAAGAAAGCAGAGGCAAAGAAATAAGAATCTAATGATGACATGGGCTTTGGTCTTTTTGACTAAACCTCTTCAGTAACACATTCAACACATTCAACAAAAAGCTGAACTCTTAAAAAAGGAATAAAACACTTAGAAATAAATTTAACCAAGGAGATGGAAGACTTG